TTTTTGGCCGATTTCTAGTGTATGCCAATCGGCTAGGCCGATTTTTTGATAATTTGCCAAATTTAGGTCGAATTTAGGCCAATTTTTCGCATGTCTGATTTTTTTGATTTCGACCAGTGTATATAAGTCAAATATGTGAGTTTATGCAAGTTATTTTTGGAATTTTATAAGAAAATTTTGAATTCTCAAAATTTTATAATCAATTAAGTACAAAATTAGCTAATATTCTAACAAGTATTTATTATGCTATACCATTTTTTTTTAAAAAAAAATCTTTTTTATTAGTTATTAAATTGTATTATATATTTATTGATTAAATGCATTTATTTAATTTGTGATAATAGAACTTATTATAAATTAACTTTATAAATATTTATTAATTTAAGAGTAAACTATATTTCAAAATTCTTATGTAAAGTTAAAATACTTTGAATTACATTTTTTTTTGTCATCATTTATTAAACATCAAAAAAAAGATAATATTATTTATCTAGATATATTTTATATATAATATGCATATCATATTAATATTTTTATTTACTTTCATTATATTCATAATTTATTATGAGATAATTCTGATTATCTTGTAATATCTTACTTAAAATAATTTTAATTTTATAAAGTAATCTAAAAAAGTTTTGAAAATATTTCATTTATGATTTTTTTCATTCTTTTACTAATTATTTAAAAATAATAGAAAAAAAAGAAATTAAATAAAGAAAATATATATTACTTATAAAAAATTAATTAATTATTTTTTAAAATTAAAATACAATAATATATAATCATATTAAAAATGATATTGCAATTAGTTGCAATTATGTAATGCTTATTTATTACTGATTGTAATTAGTTATAATGCAATTTTATTAATGTTAAAATTAGTTGCAATCCTGTAATGCTTATTTGTCACCAGTTGCAACTAGTTGTAACATCATCTTTAAATTATATCATCCAAATTTTTGAATTTAATGTGATAAGAATTCACACTTTCAATTATTTATAAAATAAAAATAATGATAATTATTATGAATCATTATTATCTATTATAAAGCTTTTAATAAACTTCTTCAATAAAAATACATCATTTAAAACTATTATTATTAGATATACTGATAAACTTTTAACTAAATAATGTAATAATATTTGATTAGAATTTTTTAAACAAATAGTTGATAATAAAATATACAGATTAGATTAATTATATATTTTAATATCTTTATAATACCCTATAATAAATTATTGGATTTTATAAATTTTACTTAGTAATATATAGTAAAATTAAAGATTTTATTTTCATATTCTAAAAATTTTCTTTTTTCATTTTAATATTTAAAACTATAATTGATTAGTTATCAAATAAAAAATACAGATAACTTTTATTAAAAATTTGTAAACTTATCTTTAATTTTACTATATATTATTAAGTAAAATTTATAAAATCTGGTAATTTATTATAAAGTAGTATATATGATATTACTTAATTAATAATAGTTCTATTAAATACTTATTACAAATTAAGATCTACTGTAAACTTTGAACTGGCTTTGCTTAATGCTTCACTTGATTTTTAAAATATCAAGAATTAAATGTAAGTTGATTTGATATTACTTAAAAGTTAAACTTAAAAAATGATTATATCTTTTATAGATTTTATTATTTGAAAAATATTTAAAAAAATTGATTTAGACTGATAATTAGAATAAGAATCCTAATTATCTAATATTTAAAGTTATTAATAACCTTTTATCTTTAATACATTATCCTGAATTTTTAAGTATCTTGATATTTTTAATCTTTAAAGTTTATAATAAAACTAGAATAGATATTAAAAACTTAATATAAAGATAATAAAGATAACAATTAGGGTAAATCTTTAAAAAATGCTATAGAAAATCTAGAAGAAATAAGTTATTTTATTTGTTTATTAAAAACTTTATTTATTTATTATACTGATAATAAATCAATTTGAAAATCTATATTAAAAAGTTAAAAATATTTAAAAAATCACTTAAATTAAGTATTGAATAAATATATCAGAATACTTTTATAATAATAAATTAAATATTTTAAAGTCAGAAGTGATAATTTAAATACAATTTTATAATAAATTTAATATTCTGAACTTCTAAGATATTAATCTTTGCAAAATTATAAGAATTTGAATATCTTGAATTTTAGAGGTATCAATGTTTTGCAAAATTGCATTTAAATTAATTTCTAAAATATAAGAGATATTAATTTTTGCAAAATTATAAAAATTTGAATGTCTTGAATGTTAGAGATATCAATTTTTATAAAATAGCATAAATTTTATATAAAATAATTTTTTTGACAGGCCAAAACTTAAATAAAATTTGACCATTTTGATTGTAATCAAATAGTCAAATAATCATAGCTAAATACTGGTCAAATAGTTAAATACCAATATTTTTCTATACTAATTTACTTTTTTTAAAGTTTATTATCACTAGTTTAACTAAATATATCTTAAATTCTAAAACATAATAAATTGCTAAGTTAATTCAAGTATAATAGATACTTATAAAATTTAAAAAAATCATAAGATTGTAAATTTCAGTAAGTAGAATCAATTGTCGTAGCTTATGACTTAAACATTAAGATAATTAAAAATAAATCTAGTAATAATACCTATTTAAATCTTATTCATGTTACAACTTTAAATTTTATATTCATTATTTTAATTTTTAAAATCTATATTTTATTATAAATAATAACATATTCTAAAATTTGAAATATTATTTATTAATTTATTTTAATTTTTTTATTAAAATCTAATATAAGAATTTATTATATTACAAAAATTTTTTTATTTTTATTAAATATTTTATTTTATATTTTTAAAAATTAAATTACAAATCATTTCTATAGGAATATTATTCTAAACTTTTAAAATCTAAATCATAATTTAATCTTTATAAATATTCATTTTTAGTAAAAGAATATTCTTTATTAGCTATCTAATTTTACCATTTTTTTGCATATTTATTCTTTAAAAGATTTATTAAGATAAATATTTAATGATTAAATAAGTGATGTAAAATACTAAATATAATAGCTAAATTAATATTCATCTGATAATATTTTTTTTTTATAAATTTATTTTATATTTTTAAAACCATTCAATTATTATTAAAGATCTTTTATTAGATTCAACATGTTTTTTTATATTTTGTGAAATCAAAATCTTTATTTAATTAATCTTTTTTTTATATCCTAACTATTATATTAGAAAAAAGTTTTTTTAAAAGCATCTTACTTTTAAAAATAACCATTAGTATAAGTTTTATTTATTATCAAGATACAAATAAATTAATTTTATCATTTTTAGTAATAAAAAATATAAATTGTTTTTGCTTTTTTTTTAATTGTTAAATTACTAAATATGTTAAAAATATTGGAGTTTTGTCTATATTTGCAATTTGTGATAAATAATATTAACTTATTTTGATTATCTTTTCAATAAATAATTCTAATTTTAAAGAAAGCTTTATAGATAACTTTTGTCCAATTTTTATTTTTTGATAAATAGAAAGATTATAATTTTTTATAAAAAATAATCAAGATATTTCCAAGAAGCAAAAAATTTTTTCATTTTTGTTAAATCATAAAGTGGTGTAATAGCCATTCCATCTTGACGCAAAATTTTAACTCATTCAATTAATTCTTTTCAATATTTGAATATAAAGGTTTTGAATTCATTTTTACATCATTTTGATATTTGTGAATAATTAATTCCATATTTATTTTCTGCGTCTTTAAAGATGTTTCTTTTGAATAAGTAACAATTAAAAGTTTTCTTCTATATTATATGAAGAGCGAATAGTTTTTGGCATATTAAAAAATTAAACAATTTTAAATTTATTAATTTTTAATTTTTATTATTTTCTTTATTTAACATATTGCTTTTTACAATTGAATCAAACGAAATATCACTAAATCATGTGATATTATTGTTTAAAATAACACCCTATTTTTTTAGGGTAAATTTAATGAAATACGTACGGTAAATAATGTCGATCATTTCTAAAATCTAATTTAGATTTTCTTACACAAAAATTGAAAAATGTTTGGTGGTCCCGTACCCATATGGGAGTGTTTCTAGGAAAATCAGGTTCCGAGAAATTTTTGACTAAAATTAAGAGCTTAATACATTTTAATCTAATAACATCAAAAACTAATGCAATAAAAATCTCAATTTTGCTAAAAATTCCCGGAACCTGATTTTCCTAGCAATCAACCCATATGTCTGATATTTGCATCGCAAAACATAAATACACGTGTTTTTTTTAGCTAATGAGACTTTAACGCCTTTCGATTTTTATAAAAATAACGAGGGTAAGGTCATTCCAGAATTTTTCATTAACCGCTCTACTGAATTTTTCACTTCTTTACGTTTATATTAACCAAATAAATCATTTAGTCTTCTCTGCAACTGTTTTCTTGGCCGAAAACTATGATACTGAATCTCTTAATTTTTTTTGCGTGGTCAAAACTTAAACCTCGACGAGGATGACTTCGTAAAGAAAAAATAGATGATCAAGTCTTCCCAGATATGACCGAAAAAAGATTACGAAAGATGGCATGAAACGAGGACCTGATATAAACAAATGTTTAAGGATCAAGCAAAAAGTTCTTCTCAAGAAGGGTAAACTGGCTTTTGCCATATGAAATGTGGTCCATTCAGCATTTCACTCCTGGTCCACTAAGATTCTCGGAGCTTTTGAAAAAAATGACGCGCATATGGTGTTTTATAACACCTTATATATTTCGTGATGATCCTAACACCTCCTTGAGACTGTTAGGAGCCTTTTATTCACAAAAAAGGTAAGTATCTTATTTTTATATGCTCAAACATGCGTTTTTCTCCGCGTTCTGGGTATAGCATCTAAATAAACTTGCTGAGAAATATTATCTCATTGAATGTTACTTTACGCAGGTTGATGGAAAAAAGGTACAAGAACCTCTAGCTGATATTTCTAATCATCAGATTCGTTAGTTTCTGTATCTGTTGCTGGGAAAAACGAAGTATTGGTAATATCATGGATATCTCCATAGATGTTCATTGTAGAAAAATGGATCCATAGATATTTTGACAGTGTTAAAGGTTGTAGTCCATGAATTCGACCAAGGCACAATAGCACTATGATCCTCCCGGGAGAGCACATACGTCGCTGAGATGTATATGTTCTTAGTAAATTGGCTAAGGAAGATTCACGGCTACGAAATTACAGGACAGTGGGATCTTGAACAAGTATGTGATGATGGCGATTACCATCATTTTTATCGCGACCTAACAATAAAGAAACACGATAGCCTCCATCCTGAGGCTCTTCTTGAACTCTTGGCGATAAAATGGGCACTTCGAGCAAGTATTTAAGCACGCTGAGCGTCTTTGTCCTCAAGAAGTTTAGATCGTACATTTTTCTAATGAAGAGTTAGTTGTAACTGATCCATACTGGCCGGGTAAAAAGCTTCAGGATAGTGGGTTAAATGTCGCACATTTATTGCACAACAGGGATTTTAGTAATGTACGAATGAGTGTCAGGTTTCGATATCACTGGCAAGTTTTCATGAAATTATAGATGAGTAAATTTTACTCTAATTTTTGTATTATAATAAAGTTTACCTGGAAAGGCTTTATTAACTCGTGTATCAAAGATCATTTTTACATGCAAACTTTTTTTGCGCAAACTATAACTAATAACCGAACCGAATTTCCAATCTGACTATAAACAAATTATTCTAAGCTCCCAGAAAGCCTTGTTAAGAGAGCATATCAGAGACTTTACATCACTCTAAAGATTAGAATTAATTTCTGAGAAATCTGATCGAATTTATTCATATTTGTGCCATCCATTCGAGGTTTAAACCGGAAACGCAAAACTATGGATTAGAAAATTTACTACGTCCTAAAAGCTGAAACGTAATACAACTTCGGTACTACCAGTTACATACGTTACAGATAAAGCGATACAAGCACAAGATTCTTTCTTTTGCAATCATGAGAAAGAGATAAATCGTCGGGTTAGAAATGAGCTTGACATTTTATATCGAAAATTACTTAAATACGATGCAAGATTTGACTAAGGAGTACGAGGAGCGGATTAGAACTAATCACCAACTGAGCCATGAAATTAAGGTGCAATTTCGGGAAGCAGAAAAAATCTTGCTCTCATGAAATCTGATATGAAAAAGAATTTCTGAGCATTTTTTTTTCGGGAATATTGACCTTTGCAATTATTTTGACGGAAATCTATTTCGGAAACTTTTGGTTTACCAGAAATTAATGGATTTTCGGATTTTCAAGCCAAGAAAACCATGCATTTTAATACTCACTATTCGATCAAATACCATCATCCATAGAAAGTGATATATGGAGACGCCTTAAAAACCAGTAAATATATAAAATCCATTATTAGAAGAACAGGCGGAAGGGATCCATTCAGACATTGAAAAGTTGCTTTCGAAGGAGGTTTATAGGTACTACGAGAAAAAAGATCGCCAATGTTATTCTAGATATCTCGAGTACTTTATCCCGATTAGATCGATTCGAGAAGCAACTGGAAGAGCTCGAAACCTTGTTAAAACAGAAGGAAAATAATATTAAAAAACTATTGAATCACAGGTTGAAGAGGAGCGCAAGCGACTAAAAAGTGAATATGATATACTTAACTGGCGCCTGCAAGATGAATATAATAAGATCTTTGAGGATATAAAAAAACGATCTGTATTGTTAAAGCAAAAATTGGAGGGCAAGCATAAATCCCGCTCTTCTGATTTGGAAAGAGAATAAAATTCCTCTTTGGATAAAGATATGACGAGAAATCAGCAAGCTATCCTCGTCGCTTTCTCAATCTAATTATGAGATAAAGGATCTAAGAAAGTTCTTTCTTCTGTTAAAAAGACGATATTATCTTTGCTAAAGACCAAACAATTAATCCTGGCTGTATATACAATAATATAGAAATATGAATTTTATATTTAAGACTTTCATGGAAAAGGTTGCGTTATCAAGCTGAAGATGATCCTCATATTCGCAAGAAATACAGTATACATTCGTTCTCCTTTTTACAGTTCAACCGCCTTTTTGCATATACCTCAATCAAAGATTTCGGGATGTGATAGTAAACATGACTGCATAACTGATTTGAATACCTGGTCCAAAAAAAATTCATAAATAATGTTTTATTTATAAATCCCGAAGAAGTAAAGCTTCGAGGAGAGAAATTTCTATGAAAAAATAAATTATTATTAATATTAATATAATAATCAGAATATATAAATTAGAGAATATATTAATAAGAAAATATTAATCGGATTATTTAAATTCACTAATCTATTTTTAATTAAATATATATTAATTTATTATATAAAAAGATTGTAATTACATTTTTGGATAGATAAAACTATAACAATGTATTTTTATTGATAAAACTTTTTCCTATATTTATTTGATAATAATTAAGTAATAAAATTAAGCTTGTTATTTCTTATACTAAATTTTAAAATCAATGCTATAAAAAATTTATTATAACAATTAAATCATAATCAAACATTCCAATATCAATAATTTCCAAGTTATCAGCTTCGTCATAATCTTTGAAATCTTTGATATCCGGCATAAAAATTAAATCTATTTCAACATAAAAAGTGATCAATATTGAATTTCAAAATAAAGGGTTGGGGAATTTTTTAAATAAATATCAAAAAATAAAATTTGACGTCAATCGCATATTCCCATATAAAGATAATAGTTACACAATTTAATAAATTTATTTCGTCATATCATGGGATAAAGCAATGACCCAAACTTCTATTTGACCAAAATTCGTTTATTTATTTAATACATTCGACGAAATGCGAAGCAAAAAGAGCCGAGTTTGATTTAATATTCTAAATATTGTAAATATCTATATATAAGATTTTTTCAATGGAATGATCATCATTTTTCACAAATACACAATTCTCCATTTCAAATCCTTACTATATAATTTTAACAAAATATAAACTAGCGAATATCTTTCAGCCGGCTTGTGCAGAGCGAAGCAATAAAACATGCAGATAAATCTTTAGATGAAGCAGGGAAAAATTATACAAGGATTTGCGAATAGTATTCATGTATGGGAACAAAAGTTTCCGAACGTCTTCTGAAATGCGAATTAAATTATTACCGTGTCGGTCATACATTATGTTTGGATAGTCAACTGTTTGGAATCGATGACTCGCTCTGGATGACCACCTTTGATTACGATTCTTCAACATAACGAATCATGACGAGGATTAATCTATGTGTTGATGAATTGCAGCAACTTTGGAAGAAGAAGTGCTGACAAGATTTTTCAACCGGATTATTAGAAAAAACTTGCACAGCGAATGTGGAGGTCTCCAAATGATATTTGGAGTACCAATTGGACAACGGAGGATTTGTTGAAATTCATATGGGATGACGAATCGACATTCTCTTAATTCCAACTAAGCCGCATTAGCAGTGTGTTACAAGAATCTGTGGATTAATGGATTTTATCCTTTGCTTCAACGACGGGCCGATTGTTCCATGGATCACATTCTAAGTATGTCGTATTAGCTATGAGGTTACGTTTCCAATTAATGATTGATGGTACCAAGAAGAAAATGTCCAGCCTCACAAATCGAAGGTTACAATGTTTTTTCAGGCAGAAAAGGCTCATACTTTATCTTGCCCAGCTCAAAGTCCTGATCTCAATACAAAATACGTCCAACCTTGACCGATACGTTATAAGCATGGTAAAACATACTGTTGAAAATAGCGATAGCATGCCATAGCAAATCCGGGCTGTAATATCACCGTCTAAATAGAATAATTGACCTTTTGTTATTAATGCTAAAGAAGTTTATAAAAAGGCTTTCGTCCATCCTCTGTAAGTTAATCTTATTCTCAAATTCAACATATTTTTTTTTGATTTTATTATTCTAGTATTCCTAATTAATCTTTATACTTATTTATTTTTTTTGTAAAATCATAAATACTCAAATCAGAATTTGATATCTTGAGGAAAATGAAGATGAAATAAAGATTTATCACGAAGATATCGTGAAATTGTATCAAGAAACCGGATAAGGAAAATCTCATCAAAACGACTTTTAGTTCATTGTAGGAAAATTTTTAATTTTACAATACCAGCCCAAACAAAATAATTTTACCTCACCTAATGAAATACGATTTGAAAACTGTAGCATGATCTATATATTAATAATTGATTGCAAAGTTGCTAGAGGATATAAAACGGAATATAAACACAACTATTAAGTAAATTATTAGGTGAAATTGGAAGAATTCATGGTATTCATGGTGAAACCTTGACGTTAAAAATGCATCTAATCTTTAGTTTCAAGATATTAATGAATTTTATTCATATATCAAATTTTTTCATTTTTCATTTTAGGCAAATCGGTATTGTAGAATGTTGTATAATCATGCTTTGCATGATACATACATCCGATTTTGTATGATGTAAGGACGGACGTACAAGAACTATACATATTTTAATAGGAATGTTATCTCTTGTATGTTGTCTCGGACTCTGCTAAAGAAAAGCCCAATAAGCGAGGTGGACATCAGGGAGTAACTTTACATTAAAAAATTTAGATCAAAGCTTTATAATTTTTTTTTTAAATTAGAAAACTAAATAGTGCTTACCTCTTTGCAAGTTTCTTAGGTCTTCAATTCTTATTATTTTTGTAGATTCCGGAGATCATCTATCCTTGGATCGCAAGTTCCTATAGGGAGAGTGAATTTTAGAAAAATCTAAGATCTTGAGACAAATCCATTGGTCGAGGCAAGTTCTTTTTGTTAAACTAAATCATAATTTTTTGGTTATATATGAGGTCTTCAATCCTTGGGTTAGGAATGGTCTTCAATTCTTAATTCAGGGTAAGTGCCTATTGAGTGAACTTTATTTTTATGTTTTTAATTTGAAGATAAATAAATGATTATCTTTTAATTCTTGGAACAGAGGTTGCAGAATCTGAGATTGGTAAATAATATTAAACAATTTATTTGTTTGATTCAAATGTGATATCAAAATGTGATGTCAGAGTCAGAGTCAACTTATTCAGTCGTTTAGAGTCTTTCTAGTCGACTCTTTTTGATCATAATCATAATTAACCATTAATAAACAATATTAAAAAGTTTGCAATTTTCAATTAAAATACGAGTTTTTTATTAATAAAAATTCCATATAATATTCCTTTAACAAAAATCTGAATCACATAATATTGTACAATTCACTTATTTAATTTTTATTTTTTCATATAAAAAATTATTAGAATAAATTACTGAAC